TCAAAAAAACGAGGTTAAAAAAATAAACAGATAAAACACAAATCAAATGCAACATGGAGCTTCTGCTTAGGCCAATCCTTACCTTTAAGCAGCACGACTTTTGCTGCYGTTGCTGGCAGCAAGCTCCCTGGCCAGGGGAGCGCTGCTCCTCTGCACACTCCTGCTGTGAGCTGCAGCTTTTCCCTCGCCTGGAGCTGCTCCTGCTGCTCCTGTCCTTCCCCCTTTTTCCCCTGRCACCTCGACATGCCCCAGCTGCCCACACCTGCACGCTGCCACCTCATTAAATGCAAAGGGGTGGCGAACAGTTTTCCTCAGGAGACCCAAGGCTCCCTTGTCAAACCTGCCCGGTGGAAACTCAGCCCTTCCACCRGTGGAAAAGGGGGAACCAGCGAGCTGGCTGCAAGAAGAGCTTCGCATTTGAGAGCAGCTGCTGTGGGCACTGGGAGCTTAAACTTCCCAGGGCCTTCCTGACAACACTTGGATGTCCCAGGTGAAATGAAACCTCCCTGACCCGCTCTTGTGTGGGGTTGGTGCCTCCCAGCCCAGGGCTGCTCCGGCGGGAAGGGGAGCGCGTGCCGGGCGCCGGCGAGGCAACGAGCCGAGCGGCTGACACGATTCCTTAGCAACGTGGCTGCTCCATGTGCAATCCAAGCCTCACGGCTGCTGGGTGCCACCGGCTGATTCCCAAAGGCGCCGGCGGCGGCACCGCGGGCCGAGCGGCGCTGCAGCGGGCACGTGCGGGTACGGGCACGTTGCACACGGCCGTCGCAACCTGAGGCTCCTCCAGGTTAAGCAGTGCTCCAAGCTCTCCTGCTTTATTTCGGGATGGAATTTTTTCAGTTATACAACTAAAACCGAGGAAGGGACGGTAGTTAAGCTCATGTGGAGCTGCACCCTCTCCCACCACCTACCTCCTCTCTCCCTCGGGCCTTGCTTTTCTCCCTCCTYCACCATGCAGCCTTCTGGCTGCTCTCTCCCACTTTTTCTTTCCTTCTGTTCCAACTGATGTCTCTTCTCCCATTCCCACTTTCCCTCTCCGGATCCATATCTACTCCCTTGAGCACCTGTGTTGTTTCTTCTCCGTGACCAGCCTGCGATACCTGGCAGCTTCGTCCTTCTGTTTGCTGCTTGGGGAAGAGCTTGGAGGGAGCAACGAAGAGTCCTCCTGCCCTCAGTTCCTGTGCCTGGCAAAACTGCGTACAGAGGCAAGGAGATGGCAGGAAAAGTCTCCTTGGACCCTCCAAGTTCTGCAGTGGGGGCTGCCTGGTTGATCGGGGGGACGTGGGACCCCTCGGAGCTGGGGGTGCTCAGTGACAGCACGGTCTCATACCCCAGCCTCTCAAGGCTCTACGTAAGAGAAGGAAAATCGATTCCTCTCAAAGTTATCCAAGTTTTGGTGAATCCCTCTCTGTGGGAAATAGAGAAGAATCCAGAAGAATCCCTGGATTGTAAGGTAGCCCCCTCTTTCAACGGCAAATGCCTAATGAATACACAGAGACACATACAAAGCCAGAGAACTCCTGTGAATCGGTGGAGAAGCAGCAAAGGAGCTTTCAAGAGAAAGATAAAGAGATTCTTCCTGTAATTCCTGCTCCTCTGCCCCGAGCCGCTTCTTGCRGAGCAGATTAGCTATCCTCCCGGAGCCAGCTAACTGCTCCAATGCAGCCCAGTTCTCYGAAGCAGCATAGACTTTGTACAGGCCAAAATCCCTGAGGAATTGCAACAGTTAAAACCAAGATTCAGTCMTGTTGTTGTCTCCTCTGTAGCAGACATCAGAGGGACTATTTAACTGCAATCACCTCTCCTATAGGTGGCATGCAACACGTTGGGGGGCCATTAATAGGCAGCAGCAAGTCCACAGCATGTCCTGGAGCCTGGTGCACTCATATAAAATTATTTCTGCAARTGAAGTCAGCTCAGCTGCTACTCACAGGGATGAGAAAAACCCACAAACCTGCAGAGCGCAGCGAGTGAAACAAGAGTTATTTTCCACACATGCCATGTGTCAACACAGCACCCCTTTAGCAGGTCTAACTCTTCCTATTTCAGGCTCAGCTGGAAAACAAGAAAAAAAAAAAAGGTGTTTCCAAATATATCAGAAAAGATTTCCATGTGCTGCTGGYCGGAGAGAGGATTAGGAGCAAAGGAACAGAGCAAGTCACCGGGAAGCCGAATAAGCCCTCCCCTCCCTCAGCCACCCTAGTTATTCACATGCTGCTTTAGATGCTCCAGGCAATTCCTCGCCCACCTCCCTCCCACCACACGCTGCGATGCAATAACCACGGCAGTAAGTTAGGGAATACATGAATACATAAAGCGAACGCATTTTGCCCACATTATTCCCGGGATGACACCAACACAAGGCCCGAGTGCCGATGGCTGGAGCTGCCGGACGGGCCGGCGGAGCCCCTGGGGCCTCCACGYACCCCTGCCCAACCTGCAGCCGCCCAGCAAAGAGTTAAGAGGGCCGGGCAGGATGGTGCAAGATAAACATCTTTCCCGGCATCTCCCGGCTCCCTTTCCTTTCATTGCTCCTGGGAATCAAACTTTCTTTTTCTCCCCTCCCTCTCTCCCCGTTTGAACAAGGAAGAGGTGTGGAGCTGCGCGAGACGGCCAAGCCGGGATTTCAAGTTCRGATTTTGTTTCTCCTCTCGYGGCCCAAAGTCACTCGACTGCGCCRGCTCCTTTCCTCCTTCTGCAAAATGGGGCAAATAATTAGCAACCACCACCCCAGTGTTAGAGAAATTATTTAATTCATGGTTGTACGGCTCTTTGAAGATACAAACAAAGTGCCAACTATTATTACTAGATGATGATGGTGATATATTTTTCCCTCAAGCTTCTTAAGGGAAGGGGGGAAAAAAAAAAAGCATACCATCAAGCAACCATATTTCTAATGAGATGCAATACCCTGAAAGTAGGGCATTTTGAAAGAGATTGGACAATCTTTTTCCAGTTCAGAAAGATTATTCCCAATACATAAACCTCACAGGATTATAAATTCATGAAAAGAAAAACRTCATTCGACTAGCTGACAAAATAAGCTTGTCTAAATAAACGGGGAAAATATATACTCTCTCCTTATTTATTTATTGCTCTTTAAGAGAGCAAAAAGAATTTCTTGAAGAAGCCACGGCAAAAATGAAATGAGACTCGAAAGCTCAGTGGGGGATGAGTTCAAAATTTCCAAATATGAAGCAACTGTCAGGTCTGGAAAAGGCAATTAAACAGAAAGGCCTGGGTAAGGCAGTGGGGAGCGAGTGCACTGTGCAAGAGAGGTCACACGCTGGATAAGCACGGCGGTGTGCTAAATATTTCTGCATAAATACAACTCCCTTTCTCTCCATAGATATAGGAGGGACCTATCAGAGAGCTGCCATCAGGCTTCTTGGTGAGCAGGCTGTGAAACGACATTAATTTTGCCCAAACCACATCACTAAGTGTCTGAGCCAAAGCATAAAACAAAACACAACACACTGTTCTCCGCAAGCAGCAACATTTCCCTCTCAAAGCACTCCGACTGACTTCAGCACTACTACCAAAAGCCCCAAAATGCCCAGTCTGTGCTGGCTCTGGCAGAGAAGTTAGSCAAGTGCTAATAAATGCAATCAAGGGAAGCAGGCACAAGCAGCCCTTCTTTTTTTTTTCTCCTTTTTCCTCCTCTGTTACATGCAGCACTGATTGAAAATAAATAAAAAGAGGCTAATTTTTGCCTCTTGCACATGGGTAACACAGYAGAGCGGATTAGATGTGCACTGTTTTGCTAATGCCCATGCATGCTCCGTCTCCATTTCAGATATCAAGGTAATCTGTCGAGTGCCTCTGCATTTTGGCACCTCAGTAAAGCACCTTTAAGACTTTTTTCCTTTGTTTTTCTTTTTTATTTGCTAAGGCTCATTTTTGAGGCATTATTTAGCTTTTCCAGCTTATTCACGTGCCCATCCCTAACGCGGGCTATGGCACAGACTGTCAGCATGATGTTTCACGAGCTGCTGGGGAACAGCAGGACAGAAATCCATGCTTTTAAGCCTGGACAGAGGCCACGGGCAGCAGCCCTGAAGCTTTGGTCAGGACAGCTGCAGAGCTCGTGCAGCAAGAACAGAGCTCCCGTACCTGGCTGAACCTGGGGCAATGCAGGAAGAAACCCCACGTTCACCWTCTCGTGGGAGAGGCAGCCAGCAGCCTGCTCCAGAGCCCACTGCTTCTGTCAGCATCGAGTCAGAAACGGAGATTTCTTGCCATCTTGCTGGGAGAGGCTCTTACTTCTTTATTTAACAGTGCAAACAAGTAGCGGGGCGGGGGGGAAATCAGTTCCAGCTTTCTGGACAGACTGCCCGGAGGAAGGGACCTGGCTGAAGCAGCATGCCTGCAAACACCAGGAGCACATCGGCGTGCGAGCCGGGCGCGAGCGGYGGCGCTGGGCACCAGCCGGCACCAGACACGGTCCCTGGGAGGGCACCAGCACAAGGGACAGGGAAATAGAAGAGATTTCGGCCCCCATCGCTGGGACCTGGTGACCTGCTGGGAAGTCACAGGGTGGAAACACGGAGGAAGCCCCGGGCACGCTGCARTTGCGAGGCGCGCGGCTGGCACAGCCACTGGAAGCGGCTCCCTGTGTAAAGAGGCAGCTGGAATTTAGGAAGCTTGAGCCTTCCACAGGACAGATTACACTGCAGATATATTTGGACATGTTTGCTTTTCCAAAACAAAGCAGGCAAGTGACAACCATTCTCCAAAACAAACTTGCACTGGGCTACTGGGATCACACCAGCCTAGAGCAAAGGCAAAACCATGGACCTCGAAGTCGCCCGAGAGGGCCACTTCCAAAGGCTAACACAAGCAGAAGCAGTGCAACATCCATGCACAAATCCCGCTGGAAGCAGCCTAACTCTAACAAGGTTTATTTCCACAGCGCAAAGAGGCTGCTGTGTAAGGAATCAAGCAGAAGGCAGCAGGTCCTCACAGTGGTGAGGAACCGTTCAGCGGGCTGGGCTACTCACGCAGGGCAGCAGACTCGGCGCTGATCTCCACCTCCACGCTGGAGCCAGCCCCACTAATCCATACCAACTGCTGGCACCTGTAAGAGAGAAGCGGAGAAGCAATTTCAGCAAACGCCACTAAACCAGAGGCAACTTAACAGCAAGATCTTACGAGGGTTGCTCATAAAGTGCCCCGGGATTAGAGTGGATGGTGTACAGAGCAGCATTAACAAAAACCTCCAGTACAAAGAGATTATACGACGAGAATAAATGTACAAAAAGGAAGCGAGTTTGGTTATTCCTAGTAACTCCCAATAACATCAGCTCTCGGTGTGTCCAAATTATGCTTTCAATCCGTGCCTTAAAAAACAACATTACGGACCGACACAAATCAGTTTTTGACCTGGGGCAAAAAAGATGACTGCAAATATTCAGCAGGCAGTACCTCAGTGAAAGCAGAGAGAATTCACATGGATTTCCTTCCAAAGAGAGGCAATTTCAAGCCTGGAAACTGAAACATATACTGAAGTCTCAGCACACATATATAATTTGGTGACGACTGCTCCTCAGAACAGATCTTTAAATCAGACCAGACAAAAATCTCAGCAATAAAATGCAGGGAGCACAAAGGACAGGGGCACACGAGCTATGCAAGCAGACTCCTTCACMAGACCAGGGCTCCAGGCTATTGCAACAGAATAATTACGTACAGAGCCCAGTGCCACACAGGGGGGGAAAAAAATCTGTCAGATGGAAAAAGAGACAAAATCTGCTGGGTGAGGAAAAGGGGGGRAAAAAAYACAGTATTTGAGGTTTCTCTAAAGSGTACTGCAGAATGTCATGGACAACGCCAGGGAAAAATGTTACTGAGCAGTGTTATTTTAAGTGTGCTTAAAGCACCGCCAAGGGCTCCACTGGAAAACCTATAATTGGAGGGAGCTTCTCCTCTTCCTCCCCAACACTGAACTCCGGGAACCCAATGCAAAGCTCCCGACTCGGTCACAGCCTCATTCCTCAGTCACCTTCTCTGCCACGGAAATGGGAGAAGCCCCGGCAGCTTTTCCAAAGGACGCTACTGTGTCCCGTTTCCGCTTTTATTGACTCCTTCTTTAAAGGAGAGAGAGCGAAGGCCCCGCGAGCGCAGGGCCTGGATGAGCGCGTTGCTCCCACGGGACTCGCTCCGTTACGGGCCCCGGCAGCTCCTCCCGAGTTGCTGCAGCCCGACTATTCTGGTGAATCAAAGCTGCTCTTTGTTGCTGCRGTTTGACAGCCCGTTTTAGTCATTTCCTCCCGAGCGGGCCCGGCCTTGCGCGGGCAGAGCCCACGCCGCCAGCACCGCACGACAGTCGCTCACCACCGAGGGGAAGAKAGGGGAGAAATCCACGCATTTCCCAGAAAGCGAGCTAGCTAAAGGGGAACTAACTGTGCATCCTGCTTTGGGAGCTCAGCCCGGGAGATGCAAGGAGGCATTTCACACAACTGCTAGGCAAATCGCCCACGTAATCCTCTTCTCCCTTCCTCAAACTCCATTTTCTACTAATGAGCCTGCCTAGAAATCCCGGATTCCCTCTAATCCTACAGCTGAAGGAAACTTCTCCTACAGCTTTTGCAAGAGGGATTTCAAGCGAGGCCCCCAAGCGCAGCGGGGCCGGCAGCGATGCTCTGGGCGAGCAGGGCACAAGACACAGCGACGCCGGGGCATGTCACCTCCCAACTTGCACCACAATCCCAGGAAGCCTCCCAACATTCCCAGGAAGAGTCAGCACCTCTATTTCTCCTCTTTATATCTGCTGAAAACTTTGCCTCAGAGACATTTCAGGAAGAGAGCATCTGGAGAGGGCCGTGACCAAGCAATGTGCTCTACATCTGCTCTCTGCTAGATACAGATCAGCTCTGTCTCTTCGTTTCTGCTCAAGAAAAAAGGCCGAGTTACAAGATCTGAAAGATTTCCCTGTGTTTTTACTAAAAACATCTGTATAACTCGGGACTCAACCGGTCACAGCTCAGATTACTCCTCCTTCCCACACACTTGTTTTGATGTCTGCACGTTTGTGTTTATACTGAAAAGTTACGAGAGTTTTTCCTACTTTTTTGAATAAAACAGGGCAGATCACTTCATAGGCAACCCAACTGCCCCCAAACTGGTATTTCAGCATCTCCCATCCCTGGCACGAGGCCCAAAGCGCTTCCCAGGCTCAGGATTCTGCACGTGGAGCAGGAAAGTGGCCAAATTAGCTGCAAGGGCCRATCCTGCTTGAGGTAACAAGACCACAGATGTATTTGCTGGTCACTTGGGTGGCTCGTGCCTCGTGGATGCAGCCAGGAGGATGCCCTGGGAGGTCATGCAGGTCCCACCTCAGGACCCCCAACTTGCATCAACACAAGGACATTTGCAAAGCAGACGTGGCCATTTAGGACAGGAGCAACCGGACAACGCAAAATGAAGTGGCCAAAGCTTGGCCAAACGGAGCATTTGCAAAATCCACTGGGAATACTCCGACACACTTGGCTGCCAGACATGCTGKGGGAGCAAACAACCACATTGGAGTGGGAAGCTGGTGGGGCTGCATCTTCTGGAGGCGTAAGGCAGGAGGTGCCACTTCCCAGCTCCATGTAGCCACCTTCACCCACCAGCGACTTCTCAGTGCCCGATTTCTTTCTGGCCACACAAAAATCCTGCTGGAAGCCCCACGCTTGGCCCCAGCAGTGTCGCTTCCCACTGCAAGCAGGCGGCACCAAAGCGACGGGCCGGCAGTGCGGCACCCGGAGCAACACGGCCAGCCAACACCTTCGGGGCACATGAACTGTGACTTACCATTCCTCCCGACCCCAAGGATTATCCCAGATGGATCATTTAATAGAGCACTTAGTCGGAAGTGCAGAAAGGAGGRAATGACAACTGCAGGAAGCTTCAACAGGACCTATCACATCGCTAGCTGATCAGTGCTGAAGTCAAACGAGACATGATCTGTGCAAGGAAAAATTTTAAGGCTATGACTAATTTTACATTAATCCCCAGCCCAGCCAACCTTGGAACTGGAGAYCAAGTTCTCTCTTTCGGCTAACTCACTGTTTTAATCCAACAGGCCAAAGGAGCAAGTTACGCAGCTCAGCTCCTGTAAAAACACACGAGTCAGCTGGCAGAAGCTCCAGAGATGACCAGGAGACACGGAAGATTATTTTATGAAGTCAATTAAAGCTCTCGTGCCCGCAATGCCTCTGCGCTGTTTGAGCAGCATGGCGAGAAGTCCTCGCAGTCGGAGGGGAGAGGATCCATCCTTCCTGTGTGAGCAAAGATGGTCCCCACTAACACAAAGAAGATTCCCCAAAATACATATTTTGCCACTATTGTGCCTCTCAGTTCTTCATGCCTGCTGGCAGGATGGTGATTAGATCCATCCATTTCCATCACTTGGCAGGCAAGAGGCTGCGGAGCGAACGGCAGCCCCARAAGTCACTTCAGTCCTTGTGGAAACACCAGTTACCTGTCGGGATCCCAGGCAGTCCTGGGAGCCAGGAGGTAATGGGAGTCTTCACAGAGAAGATCATGATTCCCCCGATGGCAACGGGACAAAACCGCTGCAAACGCCACACTAAAAGGAARGGATTACCCAAGTTTTTACTCTCTCACAGGCTCCAATTTGGGCTTATTCCTCTACATGAGCCAAGRAGCCAAGAAAGGTTTACAAGAAAGATTGTTTAACACTTGGTTTACTCTCTAGATACACACTCTCTATACACTGCAATTGCAGAGACGTCCCTGCTATATTAGTGCCCTTATCTTCTTGTTTTGACTCTTCTTACCAACAGCCTGGGCCTTCCTGCTCCATACTGAAAACGTTCCCAAATAAAAYTGGGCTTTCGCATAAGGTTTTCCATGACATTCCCATGAAGGTGACGGTCCTTCAATCAGCCTTAAGGCTTAAGGACATCCCTCACTTCCAAGGCTGCTCCCAGCACCATCCAGAAGGAACCCAACCAGTCCCAGCAGCAGTAACTCACAAAACCTGCTCTGGAGACACTCGCACCCAAACTCGGCCATTCCAGGCTGGAGAAACGAGGTGAAACCTCAGCTCATCAAACACCAAACACTAAAAGCACTTACCAGGAAAAAGAACAAATCATGCAAGTTTTTTGTTACTAAGAAGAGGCAGCCAAAGGATTTAAGGAAAAAAAAAACCTAAAAATCAAGATCAATGTGGCCAGATGCTTCCCCAGATTCTCAGATGAAAGCTTTAATTTATTTTGCTGTTTCTCCACACTGGCAGTTGCTTCAGCCCTTTTAAGCTCGCTACGTGCTAATACACATGCACAATAGGATTCAGCTGTTATTTTTTCATGTGGGCTACAAATAAACCTAGAAATACTGTTTCTGCTAATCACATTGTTCCACACAGTTTCAGAGCACGTGATTACAGACTAAACCCCTCGCCACATGTTTTTTGGCCTGGATTCTAAAGGAAATTAAGTTTATATGGTAGTGTTGTCTGTCAGTCCTCACCCTGTGAAATTTCCAGTTCTCTAGCCTGTTTTGACRGCATTTGGCAGAAGGGAAAGAGACCCGAAGAGGTGACAGAGCCTTACATCTTTGGAAGAGATTAGKGCCTAGGTAGAGCACAGACATCCGACTTAGTCTCGTGCAGAGCCAACTGTCTTTGGGAATAACTCAGCCCAGGGGGCTCCCATCCAGGCAACGCTGAAAATGCCGGAGAGAAACCTGGGATCAAGTTGCAAGGGAAGGGAAAGGAGAGGCACGTTGCAAGGAGGGACAGCAGGGACGGCAAGGCCCAAAGGGAAAGTTGCAAGTGACAGTGGCACCAAAGGCCACGCAAGGGGGTTCAAGGGGGCTGCACGTGCCAGTGGCACCATCTTCATCTTCATCCCCCGATCAGGGCATCCCAGCACAGCAGCGACCGCCGGGACCGACTGCCCTGGCGATCCGCAGGGCGCTGGCATCCAAAGGCCGGGGCGCTGCGCCAAGGGTGGAAAGGCTTGTGGAAGAAAGCACCGAAAACAAGTTGGAACAAGGCAGAKCTT